AGGAGCATGCAGGGACTGTGTAACACTATGAAAAGCCCAAATCTTCCAATTGTAGGCATAGTTGAGGAAGAAGAATCCCAGGTCATACATACACCAGTCTTTCAATAAGATCCTAGAAGGTGGCTGGGCAGTGGTGGCGCCTGCCTTTAATCCCAGCACTTGGGAGGCAGAGGCAGGTGGATTTCTGAGTTCGAGGCCAGCCTGGACTGCAGAGTGAGTTCCAGGACAGCCAGGGCTACACAGAGAAACCCTGTCTCAAAAAAACAAAAAAAAAACAAAAAAAAAAGCTTCCTAAGAAAACACTATATAGAACAAAACAAGAGTATTGAAAGCAGCAAGAGAGAAAACAGGAGTCACATATTAAGGAAAGTCCACAGTTCTAAAAGACCATGACTGTCAACATAGACTATCAGCCAAAGATGAAGAGGGAAAAACTTCTCTATGATACAAACAACCTTGGCAAATCCATGCCAAACAAACCAACCCTAAAGAGGATACTGGAAGCAACCCTTTGGATTGAAAAGGGGAATAAACAAAGCCAAGAGAATCCAGAACGAAAAATGAAGTTACAATTAATGAAACAGAAAGTGCAACTCAGAGCAAAAACAGAAGGAAAGAAAGAAAAAATGAGTGCAGTGAACACACGTCTTTAAATATTAAACTAATGAATTAAAAGCCTCAATTCTCCAATCAAAGGACACAGACTGGTTGACAAATTAAGAAACAAAATCCATTTTTCTGCTGTCTACAATAAAAATTGTCTTAGCTTTAAAAATAGGCTTTGCCTTAAGATGAAAGAGTGGACAGAAGTACTTCAATCAAATGGGACAACAAAGCAGTCATTGCTACTATAATATCTGACAAATAAACTTCAGATTAAAACTAATCAAAAGAGAAGAAGAGAGACACTTCATTCTACCCAAAGGGACAACTAAGCAAGAATACATTACTGTCCTAAACATGGATGCACCAAAATCTGGTGTGCTTGATCTCATAAAAAAAAGCGAACAGCTAGAAATAAAGACACAGAAAGTCAACTATTACCTCATACACAATAGAAAAGGCAATGGAAAAAGCAATATAAAATAAACCATAAGGTTAAAAGTTAATAAAAGTTAAGATGGTGATGAGTGAATGAAATAAAGGAAAATGTCAGAGAATGAGAAAGATAATAAGCAAAATTAACTTAAAAGTGAAGGAGCCCACATAGCACTTCGAACGTGGAGCTTCCAACATAAAAAGCTTGTAGGTATCTGGCCTCACTCCCCCTCCCACCTTCCTGTCAGTCAGCCCTCTACAAACCTTGCAGCTCCCCACCGGAAGAGACAGTCCTTATTCTTGTCACTGATGCTCCCTAGTCTGCCTGCCCACTAGTTGCCATGCTCACCATCCAGCCAGGCATCTGCCCAACAGGGAGTCTGACTTCATCGACTACCAAGCCGAGTCTACTTTAGACACTCCATTCACAAATCAAAAAGGATGGCCCCAAGATTAAACACCAATCACCATTCAGCCGGCCTACAATCTGACAGCTTAAGGGTAATGCTAAACATTCAAACAACCACTCAATAAAAGAGAGACCAGATACCCATACCAAGAACTAGTATCAAAGACTCAATTCCAAATTCCTAGATTCCCATCACAAAAAGGAAACAAACAGAATAACTAAGTCAATACAACTCCACCAGAAATTAGAATTTCCAATGTATTGATATATAAGAAAAATAACTTAGATAATTTATGAACAGGACAATAATTTCAAAACAATCATGAATATGTTCAAAGAAATCGAAGAGGAGATAAACAGATGCCCGAATAAGGACTATGAAAATACAAACAGTGGAATGAAATCCTAAAGACTCTTTGAGATTTGAAATTAGAATTTAATAAAAGATGATATCTCTAAAATATTATCTAAGGTAAACTAAATCCTAAAATGAAAAATTCATGAAGTCAAACAATATGATCAGAGGAAAGTACCTCCAACAGATTAAATTATGTAGAAGAGAGAATATCTAGTCTCAAGGACAAGATAGAAGGGGACCACTTATTCAAAGAAAATGTTAAGTCTAAAAAGAAACCAAGAATTTAACATGAAGGAAATGTGGGACACTATAATATGGGACAAAATTATATGGGACACTATCACCCGACCTACAAATAATAGACATGCAAGAAGACAGAGAAGAAACCACAGTGTTTTCAACAAAAACATAGAAGAAAAATTCTCAAATCTAATGAATAGAAGACAGAAAGGCTGTTTAGAGTGTCAAGAGACAAAGCAAGATTTAGTCACATAGATAGACAGGATAGCAGAATAACATTTGACTTTTCAGTGGAAATGCTGAAAGCCAGGAGGGCCTAGACTGTGTTCAAAATATAAATTTAGAACACAAATTACAAAAAGAGATAGTGTATTTGTTCTTCTGTTGGTAAATTTGTTTTTCAAAGACACAGCTCAAGTTCATCTTGATTGTCGAACATATCAACATGAAGATGTTTACAATATCACATTATCATTCTTGTAATACCTGCAGGATATGTGGAGTCACTCCTTTCATGTTTCACATAGAAGGCTTTCCTGGTCCACACAGTCCCTATCACTCTATTTCTGGTTATTCTTGATGGCATTAAACATCTTAGGAGTCACTTCAAAGAACGAAATCCTGTTTTGCTTATTTTCCCTCTGCCTCCAAGTTCTTTGATTAATTGAGTACAAATTACTTGCAAAATTACTCAAATAGCTTCCATTTGAATTCAAATTATGTTCTTAACCTTTAAATTTAAATGATTAGGGGTGTAGAGTTGGTTCAGTGGTTAAGAGCACTGACTAATCTTCCAGAGGTCCTGAATTCAATCCCCAGCAACCACATAATGGCTCACAACCATCTGTAATGGAATCCAATGCCCTCATCTGGTATGTCTGAATACAGCTACAATGTACTCATATACATAAAACATAAATAAATAAAATCTTTAAATGTTTAAACAATTTACATCTCTTTCAAGTAATAGCATTTTCTAGACTATATCCATAATATTTTGTGTCAACAAGTCATCATTTAAAGTGAGTTCTTTACAGCAAATATTAAGCTCTCTCAGATCATGTGTTGCTTGCTATTTTTGTTGTTTCTTTCTCATTTACTCTGTGACCTAAAAACATCCCATATTTCCATCCTGTGAAGAATTTTGAGAATGAGTTTACAGCCTAATAAAAGTTCTATTATGATAAAGTTCCCATGTGCTCATGAAAACAATGTACATCCTATAAATGAAAAATAAAAATCTGCTAATTAGTCAAGCCAAGTTTATTCACTGACAGACTTACCCAATACTGAAGGCTTACTATTGTTCCTCCCTGTTAATAACTGAAGCAATGACATTAGAACTTCCAACCATGGTTGTCTGTTCTTTATTCTCATTCTAGCGATTCCAGTTTTCTTTGTGCTTTAAATCTACCATTTCCTACACACACACACACACACACACACACACACACACACACGTATCAATACTGTGTCTTTCTGATTGGGTCATTTTTTGTACCAGTCTACTTGGAGAGCTACTATTTTATATCATTAGCTTTTTCCTTTTGAAATTTTGCATTTATGGACTTAAGATTGTCTCTATGATCTTAAATTTTATACCATAATTAACTCATATGGTAAAAGCCTCTTTTTTAAAAAAAGTATTAATCAACTTACACTTTGTCATTATGGTAAAGTTGGATTTACCTCTGGGATCTCAATGCTTGTTTCAGTTTGTTATTTCTAGGGTGACCTGCTTAGCTTTTTGTTGCTGTGATAAACACCAAGGCCAAAAGCAGCTTGGGGAGGAAAAAGGTTTATTTGGCTTCCAGGTTACAGTTCATTGAGGAAAGCCAGGGAAGAAGCCCAAGGCAGGAGCTTGAAGTAGAAACGGCAGAAGGCTGTGGCTTGCTGACTTACTCCTATAGTCACAGTCAGCTTCATTTCCCATTGACCCAAGGAAGAAGATAACACTGCTCATGTGTGATAGACCCTTCCAAGTCAGTCAGCAATATAGAAAATGCCCCATAGACGTGCCCACAGGCCATCTGATGGAGGCCACTCTCCAACTGAGGGTCAACTTGACAGCAAAACTGAACAAGACAAAGGTATTTTCCCGCTTTGCTCTCTATTCAGTTTGTCTCATGACACATGACTGAGTAATAAATTCATTTTGTCTTAATGCTAAGATGGATGCCTGAACTCATCCATAGATTCATTTCGAGAAGCATTCTTATCTTCTAGCAATCATTACAGGTAGACTTCTTTCACCTCTGAGGTAATTTCTCCTGAACTCTTTGCATTTCATCAGCATGGTAACCAACATACAACTCTAGACTGCTTAACAATCCATAATTCCTCTGGACTTTGTTGGTCTTTCAGTTTTAGAAATTCAGACTGAATTCAGCCTGGTAAAGGACTGAAAGCAATGGGCACTTTTTATTTCAATGTTTTAGATCTTAGTGAAAAGAGAGGTGTAATGATGTCTGTTTATATGCAAATATTCTTCATGGGCAACAATTGTAGTAAGAGGTGTAAAGTAATTTATTATTAATATCATGACTGTTATTGTTTGTGAGTCATTTAAATTTTAGAATGATGATCACATAAATTTTAAATTCTTGGTACTCATTAATTTAACTCTCCATTCCAAACTCTACCTTCATAGTCTTTCTTTGTTCCTCCATCACTACAGGAGGATACATGGAATCAGAGCAAAAATATACATCAAATAAATGCCTGGATAAACACTTTGTTAAAACTGCAACATGTATGTAATATATATGAGGCTTTGGTCTTATGTCACAAAAGCAGATATAGAGAGGTTTTTTATCACAAGATTAATAATGTCTTCAAATAAAATTACTAGATATGTCAGCCATTGTTGTAATAACAAACATAATTTGATAAGATAACATGGCTGATGATTTATAGAGAACATTTAAATGAATCTGAAAATGATGCTAGAATAACTCAAAGGGAAGGTGCTTTCCTCCTCTGATTTCCGTGTAGTCGAACCCTGGACAGTGCATCCCTCAGAGCCTGGTGGACCTGCTTGTTGCGCAGGGTGTAGATGACGGGGTTCAGAAGGGGTGTCACTACTGTGTTCACAAGAGCAGCCTCTCTGTTGGTGTCCAGCCTGCTTGTCTGCTTTGGCTTCATGTATATAAACACACAGCTGCCATACATTAGAGAGAGGACGATGAGATGAGAGGAACAGGTGGAAAAAGCTCTCTGTCTCTCCCTGGCTGAAGGGAGGTGCACTATTGTGACCACTATATTGCTGTATGCAAAGATGGCTATCACAAGGGAAGTAAAAAGCACAATTAAAGCAAGGTTAAAAAACAGCATCTCAATAGACCTGGTTTCTGAACAGGAGAGACTTGCCAGGGGTCCAAAATCACAGAAAAAATGAGGAATGACATTGGGGCCACAGTAAAATGACTGGGAAAGCATCACAACTGGACCAGCCATGAAGAGGAAACCCAACACTAAACAGACAGTAACGAGAAAGAAGCACCTCCTTGGGCTCATGATGGTTGGATAATGTAAAGGTTTGCAGATGGCCAGATACCGGTCCAGAGACAGAAGAGCCATAAGGAAAAACACAGTTGCCCCGAGAAAAAGAAAGACAAAGGCCTGTGTGAAGCAGGCCACAAAGGAAATCCTTTGCTTCCCTGACAGAAAGATGGTGAGCAGTTGGGGGATAACTGTAGTGATAAAACCACACTCCACAAAGGAGAACGAGCTGAGGAAGAAGTACATGGGTGTCTGTAACCGGTGGTCCTTGCAGGTGATGGTAATTATGAGCATGTTGCCCATGAGGGAAGCCAAGTAGGCCAGCAAGTGCACTAGGAAGAAGAGGATCCTCAGGTGCTTGGCCACAGGGAACCCCTCAAGGATAAACTCCTGGATGGCTGTCCCATTGCTTGTTTCCTCTGCTGTCAGCTGTTCCATTCCTTCAGTCTCTCACTGAAGGGCTTTGCAGAACCATGCCTGAAGGTGGAGAGCTGTGTGTTCCTAAAACTGTAAATGACATGGGAAGGCAATCAGACTTGGTAACAGGGCATCCAAAGTGTCACTTTGACCATTGTTAAGGAAAAATAACTGACTATTACTATGCCTGAATTTATATTACCTAATTACTTTAAAATCCTAGAAGAAATGCAGGTGCCACACATCTTCATTAGGGATAAAGTCACTCAACAGGGTTGGTCATTTTCCCATGTGGTTTTCTGCCTACTGAAATCAAGGTTATATATACCCTTTTATTTATTCATTCATGATACATATTTCTAGTAAAAGCATAGTCATGTCACACAGGCCCAGATAAATATTACAAAGGAAGACTTACAACTTAAAAATCAACCTGAAGCTCGAGTTAGCTCAGGGATGGTGAACTTATCTAACAAGTGTGACACTATGGTTCTAATTCCCACTGACACAAAATGGAAGAAAACAAAACAAATCAGACAAAGCCAGATGTCAGTCCTAGGCACTAGGGACACAGCTCAGCAGTGTGGACGTTAGTTATTCATGCAGAGGTCCTGGGGCCAGTTCCCAGAATGTACATGGCAACTCATCATCTGTAACTCCAGTTCCAGGGGATCCAGTACTCTCTTCTGACCTCAGAGGGCATCAGGCATGCAGGTTGTATGCATACACACATGCAAGCAAAATTCTCAGTACACATAAAATAACAAATCATCCAAAGATTTTAAGTCAGAAGCCATTCATTCCACAAACTGTATTCCTTCATCATACCTTAGCATTTCTTTCCATGTTTGGCCATATTATTATTAGTAACAGAAAAAAATCCTGTAGTTCTGTAGTCCTGTCTGCAGTCCTACAAAGGGGATTATATTAGAAAACCCACACAATGAACTCTAGCTGGATGGTTAAAAGATCATGTCTGGCTGCTTCATCTAGAGCCCCAGACAGTCAAAATTCACACTCCCAGCACCAAGTAAAAAGCCAGGAGTGTTGAAGGGCAGCTGTACTTCCAGCATTGGACAGGGCACAGGCAGGCAGGTCCCGGGAGCCCACGGGATAGGCTAGTCAGTCTAGTTGAAACAATGAGCTCCACATTCAGGAAGAGACTGCAGCTCAAAAAATAGTGATGAGTAAGGGTATCCAAAATCAGCCTCTGTCTCCTACACACACCTCTGTAGTTAAATACTCTTTCCCTGTAAATGGATCATGTCCTTGTATGTGAGACTTAGTCATTCTGGTCAACTAGCATCCATCTCCAGTCTCAGACTGAGCTATCTGACTTAGAACAACCAAAAGCCCTCTCTTATCAGACCTGTGTAACCAGATTGAAGAAAAACAGCACTACCATTACTGCAAACAAATAGCAAGGTGCTCTGTTCACACTGAGGCCACACCCTTGCCACAAGCAGCTCTCAGCAATCAGAACTTTACTCTCTGCTCTTTCCCCTCTAAGAAAAACAAGTCAACACATTGGTTCTGACAGCTCAAATGTAAGTAAATCGATTCTAAATGCTCATAATTTGTCCAGAGGTAAATTCAACATTTGCCAGTTATTCTTCTCCAATCAACTAACAGAGTAAGAACAGTATTAAACCATACAGAAAATATCTCAGTGGAAATCTTGCATGATAACTATGGAAAAACAAGTACACACATTTCCTCATTGTTCTCTGGGAATTGACAAGTGAAACCATCTGGAATTCCAAAAAAGCATTCGTGAGTCTCCAGGACCCCTCACCCCATCCTGCTACCTTGCATATGCCAGCATCAACAAGAAACTCCACTGCTAGGAACACAGTACAGTCAGGGCAGAAGGCAGGAGAATCTTCACTCAATCCAGCATACATTGATAGTTTCCACATTGGAACTATTTGTTTACAAGGCTTTCCAAGGCACTGAGTTTGCCACTCTTACTAACACTACCTCCAAGACATGCATGTTCCCAGACTGAGAAGGAGACTTACACCACCAGGAGCAGAAATGAAAGGGACTTGAATCTGTTCCAAAAGATATTTGGTAGTGGACTGTCCCTTGATACTAATCAGGGTCTACCAGGTCCAGTCAGCAGCACCAAGAAACAGTATGTATCATTAGTGGGTAGAACAAAGCCCTCACAGACCTGTGTCACTCTAGTATCCCTCATGATTGGTAATTGAACAGTGTTGTGAATGGAATATTACTTGATTAATGATAATAATAAGTAAGTTTTTATAAAACATTACTATATCTGATAACACATGATTAGTAAATAAAATGATTCCCCTTTCATTGTGTACAAAGATATGAGCCTCCCCGATGTCTTCATCAAAATATTTTAAAGTGGAGTACATACAATCTTCCAAGGTTCATAAATTCCCAGATTGCGTAACATTGTTAATGTAGGACTGAAAGGTCAAATGAAGGTAGCTAACTAGGCACATGCCTATAATCCAGGCATTCATACGACTAAGGCAGGAAGATTCCTGTGAGTTTGAGTCCAACCTGGAATTCACAATGAGTACTACGCCAGCCAGAACTGAAGAGCTAAATAGCACAACTTGATCTATTTTTTTAAAGTCACATAAAGAATTGGATCCCTGAGCCACTATATAAGTCAGGTTTCTCTAGAGGAAGAGAAGTAGTGGGATGAACACATATTACAAAGAGACATCACTAGATTGGCTTACACAATATGTCTGAGTGGTCCAGCAATGGCTCACTGCACACTGTAGAGACTGAGAAGCCTGTTCTCAGTTCACCGTGCTTAATGCCTTCACAGTTCTAATCTGGTGCTAAAAGCCTGGATAATTCCTGAAGACCCGTTGGTCTTCAGTCCACATTGAAAGGCTGATGAAGCTGAATTCTGATGTCAGCTTTGTTGCTTAACAACAGAGTTGATGCACTTACCAGCAATAAGTGAAGGAGGTCAGGCAAAAGAACTCTTTTTCCTTTATTCTTCTATATATATATTTCATCCAGCCAGAAGATACTATGGTCTCTTGGGAAGAATCTTGTTCTCACAGTTAAACCAGAAAATATCCCCACAGAGTTACCCAGAGGTACATTTCTTAATTGATTCCTGATTCAATCAAGTTGACAACAAAAAATTAACTGCTACAAGTCCATTTTTTTGCCAACATAATACCTAATAAAATATTGTCATATTTAGCTTCCAAAGGAACACAATAACATCATAAGTAGACCTAACATCACACAAATACTGCATTGTGCTGACTAGTTTTAAGTTAATTTAACACAAGCTAGAGTCATTTTGGGAAAGGGAAGCTCAACTGAGAAAATTTCCTCACCAGATTGGCCTGTTGGAAAGTCTGTGGGACATTTTCTTGATTGATGATTGCCCAACTCACTGTGGGACCTGACCCCCCTAAGCTAGTGGTACTGGGAACTATAAAAACGCAGGCGGAGCAACCCAGTAAGTTCATTCCTCCATGGCTTCTGCTTCAGTTGCTCCCTCCAGGTTCCTGCCCTGACTTTGCTCCATGATGAACTGTTACCTGGAGGTGTAAGACACACTAACCTTTCCTTCACATACTGTAGCTGGACATGGGATTTTATCTAGGACAATCGAAACTGTAACTAAGAAAGGAATCAGCACCAGAAATAGAATAATTATTATGACAGTCTTGATCATATATTTTGGGGAGGAGTGTAACTTTGTTACTTTAACTTTTTTTCAAAATCTATTTTTAATGATGATTCTTAAGCACTTCAACCTCTCTTGAAGCCCACCACCCACCAGAGGTAGTGGGGAAGAAAGGAAATGGATGAAGTGAACCTGTTTAGAAAGGTTCTTTGGAGCAACTCCCATCTGTGTTGTCTGGAAATCTACAGTTTGGATCACAGGTTAGCAGCAGCAGCTCAATCCACTCACAAACACTTCATGGATACACCAACAGTCCAGATCAATAGAGTCAGGTTCACAACAATGGTGACATGATCTTGCAGAGACAGCCAGTCTTCAGCCCCAGCTCAAGTCAGCAGGAGGGACCAAAAGGTACACCAGGAGAAGTTCTCCCTAAGACCAAAAACTAAGGCAACAGCACACGTTGGCAAGGATGTGAAGAAAGAGGAACACTTCTCCATTGCTGGTGGAATTGTAAAATGGTACAAACACTCTGGAAATCAGTCTGGAGGTTCCTCAGAAAATTGGAAATAGATCTACTTGAAGATCTAGCTATATCCCACTTAGGTATATATGCAAAAGATGTCCCACCATACCACAGGGGCACATGCTCCACTATGTTCATAGTGGCCTTATCTATAATAGCCAGAAGTTGAAAATAACTCAGGTGCCCCACAATGGAAGAAAGCATGTAGAAAATGTGGTTCATTTACACAGTGGAATACTACTCAGCTATTAAGAATGAATCCATCATGAGTTTTGGAGAGAAATGGATGGAACTAGAAAATATCATCCCGAGTGAGGTAACTCAGACCCAAAATGACATGTATGGTATGCACTCATTAATAAGTAGATATTAGCCGAAAAAGTACAAAATATAATCTTCACAACTCAAGAAGGTTAACAAGCCAAGTGAGGATGCCTCAATCTGACTTGGGAGGGAGGAGAAAGCAATCACGAGGGGAACAGAGGGAGGAAGGGACCTGGGTGGGAGAGGACACAGGGAGGAGAAGGGGAAAACATGATCAGATATTGGAGGGGGACAGGACTGAAGCCCTGAAGGCCAGCAGAAAGAATGGAAACAGGCAATCTCAGGACGTAGGGGGTGTGAGGAGCCGTTAGAATGTACAGGAGACCTTGGAGGTGAGAAACTCTCAGTACTCAAAGGTTGGAACCTTGGATGAGGTGCTCTACAGTAGGGAGGGGGAACTTGTGGAGTCTATCACCAGTGGAGGGACAGGACATCAAGTGGAGGGAGGGGGTTGCTATCTGTCTTAGTCAGGTTGTCACAGGATTACTCCACTATGCTGGTACCAATTTGTCTTAGTCAGGGTTTCTATTA